TGAATAAATAATAATAATAATAATAAAAGAGAACTGTTAGGTATTGAAATACAGCAGTCTAACTGACCACGCCACACGAGCGCTTGTTGCCGGAAGAAGTCGATATGTTCCATATAAAGTTACGGTTGAATTAAGTAGAGGTCACGATGAGGTCAAGATGAATATTTAAAAAAATTAAATATTTATGAAACTGAATATGTAATTATTCAGGAATATTTGTATAAATTAGAATATTTAAATATAAATAAATGTGCTATCCGTTGTTAATATAAGTAGGTTGTGCCAAAGGAAATCAACTAGGTAAGGTACATGTACTGTACATGTACATTGTACATGTACATTGTACATGTACATGTACATTGTACATGTACATTGTACATGTACATTGTACATGTACATTGTACATGTACATTGTACATTGTACATGTACATTGTACATGTACATGTATGTACATGTCTGAGCACAATTGACTGTATGACGTGAGTTATCTTCGTCGTATTATGTAAACCAAGAGAGCAAGAACAAGTAGAAATGCAGTCGGCCGTACGAAAGAAGGAATTTCAGTCCAATGCTGTATAATAACTCAGGTGGAGTCTCAGCGCTTCACCATTAGCAATACATGCACTATGAGCGAGAATTGGAGTCTTACGCGCTTGGTGAGAGAGGTGACTATCACCCCGGAAAAGACCCTGGGGTTTTTGAAGGAGCGGGGGCTAATAGCAGCGGCGCCTCTGTGCCGTACCTGCCGGCGACCATTGAGGTGGACTCCGAGGGCAGACATCACCGATGGTTACATGTGGCAGTGTACGAAGAGAACATGTCGCCAATATTGTCACAACCGTAGTATGCGGCATGGCAGTTTCTTTTCCGGCAGTCGATTACCCCTCGATAAATGCCTTGTTCTCATGTACTGCTGGGCAATGAAGCTGTCAAATACCACGGCAATCAGGGAAGCCAGCTACGACGGTGGAACAAGTTGTGAAACTGTTGTAGATTGGTATACCTATTGTCGTGAAGTTTGTCTGCACGTTGTTCAGCAACATGGCAAAACGTCGATCGGGGGACCGGGCCTGACGGTGGAGATAGATGAGTCCAAATTCGGTAAACGGAAGTACAATCGTGGTCGCCTAGTTGAGGGTAAGTGGATACTGGGCGGGATTTGCCGTGAGACAAAGGAAGTTTTCTTCATCGAGGTAGCCAAAC